AGAACACCGCATTTTGTATATAGAGGGTTTTGTGTACTACATATTGTGTTAATAAAAGGGGGGGTGAGAAAAGGAAGAAAATAAACTTCCAAAAAAAAAAAAAAAAAAAAAAAAAAATTTTGGGGGGGAAAATTTATAATTAATTTTTTTGGGGGGGGGGGGGGGGGGGGGTGGTGTGCAGTATTGAACATTTTCAAGATGGAGCAATAAATGTAAACACCCCATTATTCCTCTTAAACCTCCGATATTGATAGACTTCTACTATAAATGGGGTTTGTCTAGACGTTGATCGCGATCCTCGGAAGTCTCTAATTATCTGGACCAGTAGCCTTTTCCAGGCGTTCGGATAGTGGAGTGCGGCGCGAAGGAAGAGAGCGAGAAAAAAATAAGGGGGAAAAGAGGGGGAGGGGAGAGAGGAGGGAATGCGTTCCCTCTCTCTCACCCCTACCCCACCCCCACGTTTTTTTTCTGCCCACATCTCTTTGCTCTGTCCCCACAATCTGAACGCCTGGAACTGGCTACTGCAGAGCCATTCTCTGTTTCCAGAAACTACAGTTGCACAGTTAATTATCATTACAAGTGATTTCAAAAGATATTACAGTGGAACTTCTATTCAGGCAACTCCCTCGGGACCGAGGAAAGTGTCCCCTGAATAGAGATGGTTGTGCGGAGGTTTGTCAATAATTAACAAGATTAATATATAAATATTTTTATTCTCTCCCAGGATCTGCGGCAGTCATTATTACATGTACATGTAAGTACTATATTACGTATAAACAATCATGATAAGCAATAATGCAATATTGCAGGTGTGTTCAATTTCCACAAGTAAAGTACATTGATTTAAGTAAGATAACTGTAGTTATAGGGGATGTACAAAGGACAGCGTTGTTGTGTTTAAATACTACAACAAACGAAAGAAAAGCGCCAAACATCTTCTTCCTGTTTTATGGCCTTTTTATGGCCTGTTTTTTGGCCTTTGACAACAAACCTTATCACTGGCTGTCAATTTTGGGTACCTCGCTAACCTATTGCAAAAAGCGCAGTATTTCTTCTCAGCATGTTCCAAAAAAGTGGTTTTTCAGTGGATTGTCTGTTTTTGAATGTTTTTATTTTGAGGCCAGATCAGTTTTGCTGCTGGTATGTCCAACTTCTTTTGACTTGGAGAATGTACTCTTTAAGCACTTCCAATATGATGACAAAAGCCCGCTCTACCAGTAAGTTCATCTTGTATGGTTATGAATGCTTTCTTGAAATTCTGTTGCTTAAAACTTTTCACCTCCCTTTTCTGTGAAGCTATTTCCTAAGTGTGGACAGCTCATGTGGTCGAAAGCTTTGACTCTGCAATATCACTCAGAGCCTTTTGAATCAACTCCAGTAGCTTTTCTGATGATAAAAACAGGAGAATCAATCAAAAACATATCCTTACAGCATGAACCCACCAAAATCAAGGAACACATGAGTAACAGACAGACATCCAATGGCGACAAAAAGAAAGGTAATCTTGTCCTTTATTGTGACTTTAGTTCAGCATTATTTTCTTACACGCACACCTCTCTTTTTCATTTGAATGATCACACCACATTATTACATCCAAAGACTTAAAAACTAGAACCACATACTACAGAAGTATTGCTTAAGTGGTTTCAATTGAATTTTCACAGCACAAAATTTCATTCGCAGACTCAAAACTTGGAGAAACATATTAAATAAATAGTACCAAGTGTACAAACTACATGTACTGAAGAGGATCAATTTGAATGGCTACACTATAGGAATTCATTAAAAGACTTCAAAACTTAGAAGAAGATATCAAATAAATAGTATCAAGTGAACAAACTACTGAAGAGGATTAATTTTGAATGGTTACACCATAGGATTTTATACATGAATCACATCATCACAACTTCCTTTGGTTAAAATCTAGAGAAGCCTGAAAAAAGCTGACATTTTGCAATTTGCCCACACCGGTTTCCCTGCAAAATGACGTCTGAGAAACAAATGCAAAAATCCAATACTGATGACATGTAACTTCAAACATCTGCGTAGAGCTTCTGATTGGTTGAAGCAAAATTCCCACATGGCACAACCAATCAGATGCACTA